TTAGTTCGTCTTGCAAACATAAGTTTGTGCAGAAAACGGTTCTCATTTATTTTCAAGAGGAAATATATTAAAGTTAGTCCTTCAAGAACCAGAACTTTGTAATTAAGAAAATAAATCATGCGTCATGAGTTAGCCTGCTGCTTTTTATTAGACCTAAATTTTAGTTTTGTTCATTTATTTTGTTTATTTTGTTGTTGAATATTCCTAAGTGCAGTCCCATTGCCATAATTTTTGCTGTATAAGTCATAGGTTTTTGCATAAATTAGCATGCCTGCAACTTATACAGTGAAGCAACATATTTATGGGTTTTTTCCCCATATTTATAATCCAATATTTGTCTGAGATCTGACAGTTTCATTCAGTCTGACATGGAAAATATTGAACACTACCATTTTCACCCACTAGAGGGACATTGACTAATGTGGCAAGCCAAGTGTCTCATTAATAGGTAAAAGTGACTATTAATAGCTACTTGGCTTGCCATACCAAGCCACCTTCATCTTGCTCCGGAACCTGGAGCAAAGGTCAACTCAGCTTCATTTTACAGCACCACCCAGGCAAAATGCAGCTGACTTGACCATTAAAGTGCATTTTTTAAATAAAAGTTCAACTGAGACACACCTTATTATAATTTCGAGCAAAAAAAAAAAAGTTTTTAGGTGGTTATTTGGTTAAATTTTGAAGAAATGCACAGTGAGTCCTCCCACTGCGCACTGCCGCATCTGCAAATCGACTTTTGAACTGCAGCTGATTTGACCGTCAAAGCGCAAGTATTAAGGAAAATTTCAACTGAGACACACCTTTAATGTAATTTCGAGCAAACGAATAATTGTTTTTAAGTGTTAATCTTGTTAAAGTCCTTCCATGCACGTTCCCACGGTCGCCATTTGGCAGCCAATCGATTTTTGATACAACACCAGTCCATATTTCTGGGTTGTCAGCGGTGACGCATAATAGATGCAACATATACGGCGAAGCAACGGTTTTTTTTTTCCCACTTTATTAGACATATTTGGACTGATGCGAATTATACGGCAATGCAACATGTACAGCGGCAAGCATGGTAATGTTTTATACATTTAGATGTATTCTGTACAGTATCATGAACATTGATACTTGTAAAAAGTAATTCTAATAACTAAATTTTATCTTTAATTATCTTTGACTGATTTATTGCTTCAAAAATTAGCACAATAACTTTCTTTTTGTCTTTGGTAATTAGAATTGAACAACAGTGATGTGGTAAAAAGTAGCTAAAAATATATTAAAAACACACAAAATATTTGTTATACAGCAAACTTAAGAGATTCAATAATTTGACTGATTTTTAGATAGACAACAAAAGGAAAGTGAGGGCAAAGTTTAAATCCCCAAAATGTTTTCCATCTCTTGCATTATGAGTCTGGGAACAATCAGAAATCACTCTAACAACAAATGTGTGTCTGGAAAAGGATGAAGGAAGCAGTTTCTTGATTTATTCTTTGCTTCCAAGGAAGTCCGACACCTGCTGACCTGCAACTTGTTTTTTACGTGTTTTACATCTTCTGTCTGATCAGCGTTTTATTTTAATGTGACGTAGTAAGCAGCAAAAACGCTGGAAAACTGTGTGCTTGGTTATGTACCTCATACAAGACCAGATTTATTTTATGATTTGACAAGTTTATTTTGAACTTTTACAACACATACTCCATTTTCCCACCTGGGTGTTTCCACTTGGGTTCTTTACCAGAGGCCTGGGAGCTTGAGGGTTCTGTTTAGTATCTCAGCTGTTCCTGTGGAGCCACTTTTTCACTGGTTATGGTGCTCCATATATGCTGGATCTTACACCTGCTTTTATGTGTTGGACGGTCTCGGGGGCGTCTTGGAACAGCCTGCATCTTGGGCCTTGTCTGGTATGCTAGACCCCGGCCTCTACTGGTGTTGCGCTGAGGACCTGTTCTTGTGCTGCCATGATTAGTGCCTCTGCTCTGTCCTTCGGTTCAGCCACTGGTAGGATCTGTTGACATCAGCCACTTCCTCTATCTGCCGGTGGTGCATGCTGTGAAGGGCTTATCTTTCCATGATGTTCTCCTCTTGTTCCTCCTCTTCCACATAAGGTTTCTGCTGCTGCCTCAGACATTAACTCATCAGGACTTTCCTCCTGATGTACTCCAGGATCTTAGTTGTTTAATCCTGTTTGGTGGCTCATGTGCTCCTAGTCCTCTGCTTCCCTCCTTTCTCTTTGTATATAGTGTCAGGGTGAAACCCTCCATGCATTGTAAGGTTTGGCTTGTTCATTTTTTGGCATAAAGACAATGAGGAAGACCATTCATATACAGGAGTTGACTGATGACTGTCCCACTTTGGAACCAGTATCCATAACCACCAGATTCTTCTAACCCACATTGGCGTTGCTTCCTGACACTAAATCTCTGCTAAAGCAAACTAAAACACTACTGTAAAACACGTTTTTTGTATTGTTTTTCTTTGAAATTAAGCAAATCAGAAAGAAAAGGTTAAACCAACAGAACAAATATTGTGTAAAACTAAATTTAAACATTAATATGTACAGTATCTGCAGGAAAGGTAAAACCCTTTTATTTATTTTTCCCACAATTTAAGTTGAAGCTACATGCTTCTGAAGAACTTGACTCATTAACACGATGCATTGTGGGTGATTCTGTTGCAACCTTTATGAGCATATTTGGTCTAAATGGGTTCAGGAATAAACATAAATATGCATCTTTTGTGTAATCAGAATATTCTGAAGGAATTGAGCAAAGAATATCGTTTAACCTTGTATGAAATTACATGAATGAATAAATATATATGACCAAAAGAAAAACATGCTTTTATTTTCTAATATATGAAGATTTTACTGCACAAAAAGCAGATAATTATTTATTGCTAGTTTCGAGTGCTGTAAGTGAAGCAGCAGTTTATAGCAAACACCAAAGAGGAAGCCACAAACAGACACAAATTAAAAATCTGACAATGATTCGAGGAATGCATCATCCGCTAACCATCATACAAGACGTTTGGACTGAGATTTTCTTGTGTTGAGAAACGACAGTTGTAGAAATTTTGGTTAAACGCTGAAAATATGAGCAATCATGCAATCCTGTGAAATGTCAAGCTCAAAGTATCAGCAGGGAATGACTCTCAGCTACGTCCATGTCAAACTTTGCTTCAATGCTCGTGCAGTTGACCGTGTCATAGCCGTCACTGTGTTTTCTAATGTAATTAGACTGTGGCGGCCATTTTAAAGTGGGCTAGCTCCAAAAGGTAATGAATACTTTCTGTAAGGTGAATTTAAATTTGTCCAATGGTTTTCAAGATACTCTGTTAACGGACAAATACAAACACACAAACAAGAGTAAAACCATTATTGTTCACTTCTGTCTTTTGTCAGCAGGAGATAAGAAACAACTTTAACTACTGTATTTGCTGCCATACATGTTGCACTGCCCTATAAGTCGCATCAGTCCAAATATGTCTAATAAAGTGGAAAAATCCATAAACACGTCGCTTCGCCGTATAAGTCGCATTTATTATGCGTCACGTTTGTTACGCGTCACACCCGACGGGGGCTAACCCAGAAATGTGGGCCGGTGTTGCACCTTAAACAATTATTTGTTTGCTCGACTTTATAGTGCAAAAGAGATCTGTGATCTCAATGGGATTTGCCTGGTTAAATAAAAGAGTCAATAAATAAATAAATAGTAAAGGTGTGTCTCAGTTGAACTTTTACTTAATAAATGCACTTCAATGGTCAAATCAACTGCATTTCGTCGGGGCGGCGCAGCGAAATGAAGCTGATTTGACGGGTGCTCCAGGCGAGCTGGATGAAGGTGGCAGGCTATGGCAAGCAGACTGTCATTAATAGCCTCTTTTATCTATTACATGACACAACAGCATGTCATACTACTCGAGCGCCATCTAGTGGCTGAAAATGGTATTGTTCAATATTTTAAGTCAGAATTAATGAAAACGGTCATATCTTAGCCAATTGATTTATAAATATGGGGGAAAAACATAAATATGTCGTTCGGCGTGTAAGTCGCAGGGCATGCAAATTATGCAAAAAACAATGACTTATAGGATGAAAAATATGGTAAATGTCCACAGACAAATCTATCATGTGGTGTTAGGATGATGGTCAAACAATCCATCAGCTGATTAAAGACAAATCATTTAGTGGGAGTTTGGCTTTATAGACTTTTAAACAGTTAATTCATTCACAGAAAGATGTTTTAGGCAATAACATCAACGTGAGAGTGTGAAGAAAATTAAACAAAGCTTGTTACTAACAGGCAGCACCGTGGTGCAGTTGGTAGAGCTGTTGCCTCTCAGCGAGAAGGTTGCCAGTTCAAATCCCAGCCGGGAGCCTTTCTGAGTGGAGTTTGCAAGTTCTCTCCGTGCATGCGTGGTTTTTCTCCGGGTACTCCGGTTTCCTCCCACAGACCAAAAACATGCATATTAGGCAGATTGGTAACTTTAAATTATCACTAGGTGAGTGAGAGAGTGAATGGTTGTTTGTCTCATTTGTCTCTATATGTCCCTGTGATGGACTGGAGACCTGTCCAGGGTCCCCCCGCCTCTCACGCAGTGATAGCTGGACACGGGCACCAGTGACCACTGTGATAATGTTTGGATGGATGGCTACTAATATTTAATATCCTTTCCTCGTTACAAAGTTTTTTCTGCTTTTAATTTTTAAATGAAACTGTGAATAATTAACTGAATTTAAGGCTCTGGTTCGTGTGAAGACAAATGTAAACTCCAACTGCACAAAAAATAACGGCAAACTTTACACTCCAACTTTCACAGTTATCAAAACACAGCAGAGACAACACGAACCATGCTGTGTTTTTTCAGGTGTGGTGCGTTACTGCCCCTGGGCGAGACGCACACCACATCCAGCTTCCACTCATGGTTGTTTGTTTATTTACGTGTAATTAACACTCTCACTTCTTGGGAAAAACACTAACGACACTGGCTGTGTGTGTGTGTGTTTACAGGCGTCATCAGCACTCTCTCAGCTCTGGACCGAGAGGAAAAACCCGAGCACAGCATCGAGGTCAGACCCTCATAAACAACACCTTCAAACTGATACTGAAACAGGAAAAACAAACCCTGCTGCTCTGAAATGCATCAGAGATTTAGAGTGTCAATAAATCTATAACGGCTGACAGTCAACAAGCTGCTTCACCTCCTCCCTGTAATCCCACCTCTACAGCAGGGCTGCATGTTCTGAGGTGCTCCGTGTGCAGGAACCCTGACATCAGGTTTTAATCTACTGCGGCCGGTCCGAGAGCAGCAAAATCTGCTTGAATTAATTTATTATTCAGCAAAATGCACAGGAATATATCGGACCGGTTGCTTCTCCCACAGGAGCAAAACATGAAGAAGAAAAGTTTCTAAATTGGAAATACACCCTCATCACCTTTGTGTCATGAGTCAGATAAAAAGCAAACTATTCAACTAAACCTCTTCTTCAACCACGTGGCTTTATAAATGTTCAGTAATGTTTCCAAATGTCCTGCTCACCTCACTGCAACTGACGTCAGGATCAACTTGAACAGCTGCATAAAATAATTTAAGTTTTAATGATAAATAGGAGTAAATTATTTAATTACTCCCGTTTCATTCACATGCAAACATTATTTTCAATTCAGTTTATTTTCTCACAATCTTCAGAACTATGAAGAGTGGAATGTGACAAAATATGCATTGGATAATTAAATTATACATTTTAATTATTTTTTTTAATTATTTTGTCACATTGCACCCTCCATATAGATCAACTTTCATCAAATTAATTACAAATGTTTTAGCTGTTTTTACATATTTAAAGTCGGCTCTCCTGATTCTTACATGACAATTTAGTTTAAAGATTTCAGAGCAATGTTAAAATTTTAAATAAAAGTAAACCTTTTTAATGATTTTTTTCTAAATAACTTTTGTTGATTTTACTGTGATAGTCACATGCATGTGTTAGACAAACTTTCCTTATCCCAATTTGGCATCAGAAAAAGTTTATTTCCTGTTTCTCTTCTGCTTTTACATCATTGTTGATTATTCTGGAAACAAATAAAACCTTCTTTTAAGAAACATTTATTAGTTGAAGCTGTTAGTTTCAATAATATAGCAATATATCAACTGTTTGCTCTATTTGGTTTGTTTAAACTATAAAAATATCAAGACATTTACCTCCATCCTACCTACATTTCAGGTCACTGTATCTGATAATGGAACTCCAGCTTTGCGGTCCACTGCCACCGTCGTGATCAAGGTCCTGGATGCAAACGACAACCGGCCCAAGTTCACAGAAAGACGTTTCCATGTCAACTTGTTGGAGCAGGACCAACAAGCTGGTAGAATGGAGGTCTGCAGGATAGTTGCACGTGACGATGATGAAGGCCTGAACGCTGTCCTGACGTACGAGCTGCAAGACGGCAGCGGCGACCGGTTTCAGATTGATCCTGTGACGGGAGTCGTGACGGCGCAGGGAAATTTCCGGGCAGGGAGCTACGAAATTCTGATGGTAGGTGGCTCATCCGATGTTTTGAACTTTAAAAATGTTACATCTTGGAAAAATAGGTCCAATAATCATTGGACCTCTCATTACATGATCAAATAAATGACTCATGGTAAAGGATGTCAATAGTAGGGGTGTCCCAAATCTAGTTTTTCCAGACCAAGTACAAGTACTCCAGTTTGGGTACTTGCTAATGCTGAGCACCAATATAGAGTAGCTAATGAGTTCGTAAGGTTACACAATGACTTTAGAAATACATTTATTTTATTCAGAACACAGCAGACAGTCTGCTGTCTTAACACAACCCATGTTCGTCTTAAAATTTTACTAAACTATGGACATTTTTTTGTCCTCGGCTTTTTTGCACAATGAAGAAGGAAATGTTGTATCAAAGCCCAACAATGGTATGTATCCCAAGTATCGGGGTGTTTTTTATGAGTACAAGTATGAGTACTTGAGGCTGGTAGGCCCAGTACCAATATGAATATTGGTATCAGAACACCACTAGTCAATAATATCCCAAAACATGAACATTTAAGATAGTAAAACCCAACTCTAAAAAAGTTGGGACACTGGAAAATGTAAATAAAAATAAATTAAAAAATCTCATAAACCCAGATTGTATTCATAATGATGCAAAGCAATCATATTGAACAGTAAAACTAAATAATACTGTAGTACATTTTTTAAAAAATGTACTTTCAAATTGTATGGTACCAACATATATTGAACAAAAATATAAAAGCAACACTTTTGTTTTGGCTCCAATTTTTCACAAGCTGAACTCAAAGACTTTTTCTATGTCTTCAAAAGACGCCTTTCTTTCAAATATTGTTCACAAATGTGTATAAATCTGTGTTAGTGAGCACTTCTTTGATTAGATAATCCATCCACTGTACAGTTGTAGCATATTGAGATGCTGTTTAGACAGCATGATTATTGCACATTTGTTTTTTAGGCTGACCACAATAAAAGGCCACTCTAAAATGTGCAGTTTTATCACAAAGAACAATGACACAAATGTTGGAAGTTTTGAGGGAGCATGCAGTTGGCATGCTGACTGCAGGAATATCCACCAGACTTGAATGGTCATTTCACTAACATAAGCCATCTCCAAAGGCGTTTCAGGGAGTTTGGTAGTGCATCCAACCAGCCTCACAGCTGCAGACCACGTGTAACCACGCCATCCCAGGACCTCCACATCCAGCATCTTAACCTCCAAGATCATCTGAGACCAGTCCCCTAGACGCCTGCTGCAACAATCAATTTGCATAACCAAAGAATGTTTGCAGAAACTGTCAGAAATCGTCTCAGGGAAGCTCATCTGGATGCTCATCGTCCTCACTGGGGTCTCTACCTGACTGCAGTTAATCATCATAACTGACTCGAGTTGGGAAAATGTTCACATTCAGTGGCGTATGGCATGTTAGAGAGGTGTTCTCTTCATGAATGAATCCCAGTTCTCACTGTAAGGACAGATGGTAAGATGTGTGGTGAGCAGTTTGCTGATGTCAACATTGTGGAGTGGCCCATGGTGGTGGTGGGGTTATGGTATGGGCAGGCGTATGTTATGGACAACAAACACAGGGTATGGTTGGTATAGTTACACATTTTCTGCAGTTGTGAGGCCGGTCAGATGTGCTTCCAAATTCTCTGGGTGGGGACATTCCTAAAGTCAGCAAGGCAACTGCACGCTCCCACAAAACGTGCAACATCTGTGGCATTTTGACAACTGCACATTTTAGACTGGCCTTTTATTGTGGCCTTTAGGCTGAATACAATAGGCTGATTATTGCACACCTGTGCAATAATCAGGCCGTCTAATCAGCATCTGGATATGACACACCTGTGAGGGGGATGGATGATCTCAGCACAAGAGTTCACTGACACACATTTACACAAGTTTGTGAACGATTATTGAGAGAAACAGGCCGATTGTGTACACAGCAAAAAGCTTAGATCTTAAAGTTCAGCTCATATATATATA